CCGTGTCTGCATTAGAACATCGAAAACTCTTTGCACTCTCACTCCTGCCTTCTGAGGTAGAACTGCTAATTGTTACTGATAAGATTTAAAAGTAATGTCGCTAATTCACCACTGAGTGTCTTCAACACAAGATTATCTCCCCAGCTCCAACCCAACAGTGCTTAAAGTGCTTTCCTCTCCAATGTAAACCATTGTGAGTCCCAGATAATAATCCTTATAAACCTTGCATTTGATATAGCGCTTTTCACGTCGGGAGGACGTCCCAAAGCACTTCACAGAACACACTAAAGTGAATTGACTGTATATTTGTGGGCGAACGCGGCAGCCAATTGCGCACAGCAATGTCCCACATACAGTCGTAGATTGAAAATGACCAATTTTTATTATTGTTTTTGGTTTTGGAGGGATTATTATGAGGTGTGTGGAGTAAGGAAACTTGCCCGAGGTTTCACCCTCTGCCTGTAATTGAACTCAGGTCTCTCGCTTGCAAAGCGAGTGGTCTAACCACTGAACTACAGGACTCCAAGATCACCCCACCCGCTCCCAAATACAAAATGCATCAAGGTTTGTACTGAGTCTGGACATCACTTCTGCTCTTCCTTCAGGCCCTGACAGCACAACCTCTTCCCTCAGGTGACAAGGATTTTATTAATTATGATTGATTATTATTAATATTTCATTGTGTTGGAAAGCTGCTGCAGAAACAGGCTTCATCACTTTGTCTTGGTCAGAGGGGAGAAATAAGGCCAACAGATAATAATAATAATATACCTTATTAGATCAGAGTAAAGGGCAAATGACATGTTCAATCACATTTTGAATGCTACAAATCTAGTATTGTCTACCCAGAGGCAGCCCAGTGGCTTGTGAAACGATTTCAATAATAACATGAACTCTGCACGTGAACCTTTGAATTAAGACTCAATGTTATGGATTTGAAACATGTCTCAATTATTGCTTTCCTTAAGTCTTATACATTGGTTTCTAAAAATATCAAGGAAATGTCTGTGAAGGAGGACGTGTCATTGGATACAGTGTCATACAAGAGCCTGTTTCGATTGCTTTCTTCGCGCATTTGGGGACCTTTGTTCCGCTCTTTGACCTCTGCCCTCACTTAAAAGATTCGAGTCAGCACGCAGAAAGGTGCATCGAATGCATAGGTTTCTCTTGCATTGTAATGATAATCAGTCAACAAAGAGTCAACGCGAGAGGAGAATGTGAGGAATGTTGCTCAGGCTCATTGGCAACCAGACATTTGACTGATGATATTCAGCTTCACACTGTCCCAAAGCACATTGATTTGTGCCGGGGCTGTGATTGTGTGTTGTCTTAAGTCAGAATTCCCGTTTAATTACTAGGATGAAAGCTGCACGTTCCACCAGCTGGAGTGGGGGGGGGGGGAAGTTTCATTATGAGATTAACTCAGACAAGCAAAGAGGTTACGATTCAGAATCTATTAGAGGTTTCATTAAGAATAATGTGATTTCCATGTAGCGATTAGCGCTCAGAATAATCACGGAGAGTAGATTAGTACCAGTCCATTGGGAAGGATTATGAAACAGGAAGGGGCAGCGTGCCCTGATGTGGTTTGAACTCGTATGGATTGGCTAATTCTTGGTGAGGATGCAGGCGGTAATCAATATCAGCTAGTCAACCAGGGAGCCTCCTAACATCTCAGAAGGCACATTCCTTTGCTCCCTTACATTTCACTGCTCTACGCAACTTCAATGGAACTGCCCGCACGGATCTCTTTCGTTTACCTTTTCAACGCATCAAAAAAAAAAGTAATCGCTTGCGTTATCTCTCTGACATGCTCCAAGATGTCCTGTAACGCTCCACATTTTTCCTAATCGGCCCACGTCCCCGCAAGACGCACCGTCTGTGTGGTGTAGTGTTCTGTCCAATTGCCAGAGTTCCTTTACAAGTGCATTGCTCATTGAGATTGATCTGCTTGAGAGACTGGAACACTAGGCAATTCCTCTGCCAGATGAGATCCAACCGTGACAGCAGATCTTTGCGTTTGCACGAAATCATTTCTCGTACTCCACAATAACAGTCCTTGCATTTGACAACAGGCTCATCAAGTTATTGACGCCAAGTGGAGGGAGTAGTGTTATTCGCAGGCAAAGGTGGCGGCCAATTTGCACACATGAAATTCCCACAAACAGCGATGAAACGAGCGGCCAATTTATCTGGAGCAGTTATTGGATCTCTGCATTGGGTACCCATTCCCCATTTCTTGCTCCACTGCGTGTTACCCTGAATTTACCTCGACTGAAATCCGCCATCAATTTAATTTGTTCAGATCATCATTTCTATTTGTCCTCATACGATCGGCCCCATGTTGGCAGTCACAAGAAGATTTATGTTGGTGCATTTAGATTTATAACATTAAGCCCGTTTGTCAAATTGTATTCACACAGCAGGTGCAGCACACCCAGGTGTAGAGCCATTTGCAACTCTCCTCATCACTGCACAGCAGAATCGTTTTCCCAAACGCAGCCTTGTACCTCCTGTTGTTAAACAAGACTTCAATCCAATGACTTAATTTGCCATTATATCCACGTAAGTTTGAACTTTCTTCAAAAGTTCCAAATCCAGCTTTCTGGAAACAGTCAATTCTGTGCCTCGTCTGCAAATTCAGCAACTAAGAAGTCTTGCCCAGTTGGTAGCACTCTAGGCAGAAGGTTGTGGGTTGAGCTCAGGCCTTTGAACTCACTGTCCAGGTTTAACGTTCCAATGCAATGCTGGGGAAGCGTTGCATTGTCATAGCTGCCGTTCTTTGGATGAGACAGAACCTGAGGTCCCCTCTGGTTGCTTAGATGGTCATAAAAGATCCACTGGCCAGAGAAAAGAGCTTTTGCCCCACTGTGCAGGTCAACAACCCAAGATAAACCCTTGGTTTAGCGCTTTGGGACGTCCTCCCGACGTGAAAGGCACTCTATAAATGGAATCTTGTTGTTGTTGGTTGCTCACCTCCTGGTTACTTTTGGACAAGTTGGCTGCCACATTCACCTACAAATACATGGTCATTCCAATAGGTACGTCACTATGTTTTGAGATGTTTTGTTTCGACAACTTGTTAAGGTGCTATATCGATACAAGGATTATTATTGTTCCAGCATTATGCGACGCTTGTAGGGAGCACATAGGATTCTAGCAACTCAAAGGTTATTGAATATAAGACTTGACTTTGGATGCTTTAATCTAGAGATTTAGATTGATAAAATGTTCATGTGCGGTAACTTGAGGCAAGGACACACTTAAATCATAAGATCAGTCAGCAACTAACCCCTGAACAGACCCAGAGGTGTTAACATTTCATAAGTCAATTAGTTAAGGGCTAATGCGATTTATTTGGTTTTTAAGCAACACTTAAGACAATTCCCCAGGAGATTACCACAAAATTAATATTTAAGTGCCAAAGGAAGCTGGGAAGAGAGTCTAAAATGTGATGCGGCTTAAGAGAGCAGGCAACGCAATCAAAGGAAATACCGTAAATAATACACAAAATATAGTGCCAATTGGTTGGCCAAATAAAATGGCTTTAAACACGAGTCAGTGTGTGTGTGTAAAAAAAACGACACGCTAACTGACACTGGGTTAACCGTATCCTTTAACACTCATTCATCTAGTTATGCAGAGTTGTCAATTCGAGGGGACGTGCTTTGCAACACTGAAGATAGTTCTTGCAGACTCACTTGTGTTGCTTGACACCTATGATGATGTACTTTATCTAACATGAAGCAGATAAGCCAGAATCCCTGTGCATTCAGAACCATTCACTCACAGAATTAGATATTTCCATTCCATGATTCGCCCTTGTCCTGAAATATCAAGGGTAGACCCTCAAAATCCGAGGGGTGTATTTCCTCGCGAGGGGTCGTGGGGTGGGTGTGCAGGTGAAATTAATTCATAGCAATGAAATAGATGGGGACGACCACGGAGGAAAGTGGTGGTGGTGGAGGGGAGAAGAGGAGTTATTGAGTGATGAAAAGTAAACTTTTCAATGTTTTTTCTCTTACTGAAAGGGAAAAGGAGACAGTGGCAGTAGTAGCAGAAAAGGTCTCCTCGTGAAGTGCTTCTTTCGCTTTACTTGTACAGAGTGTTTGTGGACAAAATTAGTTAGTGTACTTAACAGCAACTTGCATTTATACAGCGTCCCTCACGCACGGTAGAGTCCCAGAGCGCTTAACAGCGGCGGAGCACCACCTGAGCCAGGGGGAGGTGACCCTGGAAGGTCCTCAGATGGGAAGGAGTAAATCTTGCGAAGCGCTTTAATATGTCGTCCTGGCATGCAAAGGGCGATGCCAAACTATTGTAAGTAATGGGGAAATAGTCAAAGCCCCTTTGCTCCCCCAAGTAGGAATGACTCATCGCACAACTTGCCGGAAGCAGACAAAATGCATTACAGCGGATAAGCAACAGCTGAAATGTGAGCCCAAAGCTTCAGAACGGTGATGAAATTACACTTACAGCGCAAGTAATGTTTGGTCATTAACTTTTCCCTGCAGCACTGAAATTAGTGACAAATTGATACAAATACCCAAACAGATGGAACACTTCCAAATCGCGGCTTCAAAGTAATGGGGGGGAAAAAAATTTAAAAACACTAATTGATTCTTGGTTTCCCTCCGCAAAACAACACAACCCAGTTGCCGTTCTACATAATATTGTCGTTACTGTGCCTCCAAAGTAGATGTTTAAAAATCTTCTCGAAGGACAATACTTCACAGTTGTCTCCTGACACGTTGAGTCCTCTGTGTCGGTGCAGCTTTGCGCCTCACAGAAGTGAACCTGTTTATCGCAGTGCCTCGAACAGAAATGTTCAGCTGCGGCAGAGTTACGCGCAATCGATGCATTTTTACCAACAATAGAATGCATATTGGTGTTCCGTCACGCAACCAGTTCTCAAACTCTGCCTGTTCGTACCCCAACCATCACCCCCACCCCCGGGCAGAAGGTATAGCAACGACATCAATCCCTGAGAACGCTCTTACCTCCTCCCAAAGCCTTCAACTCACACATTTTATCCATCATGATCGAAGTAAGAGTGCTTTCTATGTTAGACCCTGCCTGAACTACAGGCTTCCTCAACAAGGTCAGTCAAGCTGTCTCTGCCCACTTAGTTGTGAATATTCAGTGATGCAAGTTCAAGTGCCAACATACGACCTCCAAACTGTTAAGTGCTAGCAAGAAAGCTTCCCAATGCAGTCCTTTATTCATTGCACTCACTGTAGCAATCATTGCCAGGTTAGACGCAATACAGCAAAGTCACTCTTGTTAAACTACGGCATAGTCGTAACACATAGAATGAGACATTTCGGGCAGTGAGGGCAGCCATTCAGACTGTCATGTCTGAAAATGATGAACCAGAGAACTTATGGAAGACTTGGTGAGCGACTTGGAAACTGCAACATGTTGTTGTCCCAAAATGCCCAGGGCATTCCGTGACCTACATCATAAGAATCAATCTAAATCTACATTATTCTAGTTTAACTGTCGCAGAAGGTTTTTTGGCCCATCAAATCCTCTCCTTTCGTAGGACTTTGCAAACTTTACTTTGCTCTTGTTTTCCCAGGAAAGTTTGGCACACCTACTCCCTGATCGCTGAAGACAATCGAGCTACACTTGAAACAAACCCAGAATCGTTTCCTACGTTCCCACATCTCGACTATTCACCGCTGGCCTGCCTCCATCCACAGCCCTTTCTTGCTGCAATTTCCAATTAGTTTTCTCTCAGTGATCCACCCTTTTCTTCGCCCCACATTTGAATGAACTTGTGGCGTTTCCTTTGGCAGCAAAGCAAGTTCACGGAGGGTTTTGCATTCTTCTCCTCTCGGCTTTTCAGAGATACACACACTGATGTGCGCTGGAGCCAGTCCCATCCCAGCATCTCTTGAAAATAATACATCTGACACATGAAAGCTACCCTTCATTAATAATTAACGACACACAAGGATAAAATTCCAGCACCACCCGCACATCCAGGGCATTTCAGTCCATCTGGAGCCTCAGACTATGAAGAACTCGCAGGCACAATGGACTGTGCATAAGCATTTCAGATCCAAACTATATTAAACCCCACATCCATGTTCTTACAGCAGAGGAGAAAAAGAGAGAGTAAAACACACAAGTGATCTCATTGTTGTTTCAGATCTCTCTCCATGCCAGACCTCAGATCTGTCACTGCTTCTGAGATGCAATTTAATGTCCCCGTCCTTTGAAATGTGTCTTTCTTCCATTGTCGAACATCTAAGGGATTTCAGCCACTTCCACAATAAAGATGATCAAAGGCGACAAAAAATACTTAAGAGCTCAAAGTGCTTGAATGACATTTCTGGGGAACACAGCAATTTCTAACATTTGTGCTCTCAAGTCCCATGATTTAGATACCTGAGAGAGCAAGACTGAGTGGTTTAAAATGCTGGATTTTGGCAGCTTAGCACCGGCTGCACCAGTTTGACATTTTATTCCCTCGTCTCGGGCCCAGGGTTGGATCCTGATCCACATTCTGCTTTCTCAAATGGACGTATTCAAACTGAAGCGGCGCGCCACCTTTCGACAGCCGATCAGAATCAAACTTCCTGGGTATGTCAGAACAGAGACGACGTAAATGTCAGGGCGAGAGACCAACGCACTTTGGTAAGCCCGTTAATTGGAAACGGCACTTTGCTTTATTGAGCTTATCCAAGATTCGAGTCTTCAAAATCCACGTAATTTTCCATTGCGGCTCAGTGGGAGGGGAGATAAAGCACCGCAGGTACACAATGGCACTCTCTTTGAAGTTGCGAATGTGGATGATTTGCTGCTTTCGGCTGCTGTTGCTTATTGTGACTGAAGGGAATGAAGGAAGAGAGAAACCGTGGTTCACCTCGATGTACGCATTTGATGCTGCTTTTGCAAATTGACATTTGGAACACGACTTGTTTTATTATTCTGAACTCAAATCCCCCCCGAACTTAGTCTTGCTGCATTTGGCTGCAGATGTACACGTTTTGACGAGTCCACGTGATTTTCGGGCCCAGATTCAACCTCTGAATTTAGAAAATCTTGTGAAATGTCAATTAATCCTTTGCCTTCCTAAATGTTCCTGCTATTTGGGCGATTAGTACAACCTGTTATATTGCGTGCATAGCGACGGATATTCAGAACTGGTAACAAAATTAATTTAAGCATTTTTTAATGTAATTCCTCTTGGCACAGGTTTCAACATTTAGCAAATTACAGAATGAAGGGATTGGAGAAGAGCAATAGCCTCTGCAGTTGATCCAGCACCTTTCATGTCAGGAGGACATTTCAAAGCGCTTCACAGGATTTCCTGTAAAGTGTAGTGACTGTATTTTGTAATGCTGCTGCTGGTGTCCTCAAAACATAAGACCATATGGATGTGAAGGTTATACCATATGCATAAGACCGATAAAACCATATGGATTGATGTGAAAAAGGTTTGACAACCTTGTCCATCCAAAATACTCTTGGCATTTTATCGCAGTGCAATGGAAGCTGAGCCACAACTGCAAAGCTTTTGGCTGCAAACCATCACCGTTCCAATTCCTTGTTAACCAACAATTAACCTGTAGCCATTTCTATAATAAGCGCCATCTGAATAAAAAAAACATTTCAATGGCAACTGAGCACGGTTGACCTTGACAATGGATGTCTGGGCGCACCTGTATTATAATAATAATCCTTGCATTTGATATAGCGCTTTTCAATTCTTGTAGACGTCCCAAAGCTCTTCACAGAATATACTGTAAAGTGAATTGACTGTATATTTGTGGGCGAACGCGGCAGCCAATTGCGCACAGCAATGTCCCACAAACAGTCGTAGATTGAAAATGACCAATTTATTATTGTTTGTTTTACAAATAGACTCAATCGGACTGTTTGCTACAGTTCTTCAAATCGTCCTCATCCATTTGCCAAATGAGTTGCGTTCCCTCTGCCTTCCCAAAATGCACCTGACAAAGAAATATATGAGAACACCCTGGAAACTGGTTTCCCCTTAAATCGCATAAATCTTCCTTAACAGGTTGCCATTGAGTGCAGGAAAATGATAGACGGCACCGCGCACACACAGGCGCGTGGATTACTGCTTTGATTTACGGGGTCTCAAGCGACTCTAGACGCTTCCTGCAGCATCTCGAAGCGCAACCCAATAAACTTCAACAGCCTACTGTGCCTGGCTTACGTCTGAACAGCTCGTTTTCCTTCTCTTCTCTTCCCCTCCTCCCCATCCCACAACTAAATTAATCTCAAGTAGTTAAATTCTCTTGGCTCAAGTTCGTCCAACTGGCTTCCGCTTTTTGCCCACAAAGTATACGGTCAATTCACTGTATAGTATATTCTGTGAAGCGCTTTGAGACGTCTCGAAGACGTGATGAGGCGCTGTAGCAAATGCAAGGATTATTATTATTCTCGTTTCAGTTTCTCTATGGTAGACCCTGCCTGAACTATATGCTCCCTCACCAAGGTCAGCCAAGTTGTCTCTGCTTCCAACGATCTCAACCGTCTCACTGACAGAGAATTAACAGGAGTGAGGGGGGAAGAAATCCCCTTGGTGGATAGGCAATAATTCACCTTTTGATACTGCATTAACCTGCCTCAACCTTGAAGAGCAACGAGACAAGATTTTGATGGCAGGCCTCTGCTTACAAAACACTTCTGGGAAGAGAGGCACAAGTAAGATAAGCGAAATTAAGCTGTCAAAACAATGCCCAATTATTTCAGTTCATTTGTCATATTCTTACAGAGGTCAGGGACAACATCATAGGAACATAGAAAATGCTAGACAATAAAAAGACTAAGGTCCATCAAGTTCGCCTTCCCCCATCCTGGCAGTCGCTCGCACGTTTCCTGCCCTAAACTGCTCACATACTGTCTTCCAAAATATTATTCCCTAAAAAAACGATCTAATTAGCATTTGACAGAATCAACACTTTCTGCTTCCGCCGCCTCCCTTGGGTGCCCGTCCCATAGATTTACCGCTCGCTCACTGAAATAGCGTTTCCGCAGATTCATCTTGCATTTACCCTCCGCCCCCTTCAATCAATCGCGAGCCGTGTCCTCTGGTTCCGGTTGACACCAAACAATTTCCTGTTAAGACGCCATGCTTCACGCCGGCGAGAGCGGGGAGAGAGAGAGAAAAAAAAATAAAGGCCACTCCCCGAGAACGGACCCGCAAGTTCCCGCGTACAGAGCTTGCGGTTTGCCCGAACGATTTACAGATGTTGAGCCCGACCATAAAAGTGCTGCTGAGGTGTCTGCCTGCCTTGGGTCTTAAGTTAACTGTGTAATTTATTTCCTCCCCGGTCGCCCCTAATTATTTAGAGTAGCACTGTTAATTTTGGAATTGCAGCTGTAAAACAAAATGTACTCGCACGCGCACACAGGATTGGAGCATCGTAAGTGTTCGCTGTTCAGCGGGATCCTATTTGACTCTGCGTATTAGGAGCTTGCTAAGACAATGAGCGATGCTGGATATTGTTGGCTGGCTTGCACTGTGGACAGCTGGTAATAGTGGGCTAGGATTTGCATACCACTGTGGTGCGCAGGCCTTTCAAAACTATTTATACTGGCTCGGCAGCCTGTGTGGTGTGTGCGCAGTCAATTAAAGATGCCGTTTCAAACTCAGCACTCAAGACTTCACAGACCAAAGGGTGGAGTTAATGAACATGCTGATTACCATTCAGGCAGTGATTACTATTTGCATCGTAATGTATCTGACACTCGCAATCCATTTAACTGTAATTATGAGCAAACAAGCACCCTGCTTTACCCATTTGTCCGCAGCGAAGAGGTCTTCAGACCACTTGCTTTTCGACAACTCTGCGTTACAAGTGTACTTCACGGATGCATTCCTCGGCTGGGTCACACACTTGACCTCTTGTACCCCTCTGCTCCCCAAGTTGAGCAAAGTCACCCCCGCCTTGGGAAGCAGTGCTGAAGGCAGTGGTCCCGTACACATACACGATTCGACATTGCTCCAGAATGAGTTGCTGAACAAGTAATATCAACCCATCTTAACGCTCCACTAAATGCTCCCACATCCGTATCGCCTTGTTTGGAGA